CTCTACCACAACCACGCCGCTTTGCTAACATCCGAAGCAAACGTCGTTCTCTTGTCTGTGAACTATAGGCGTGCCCCCGAGCACCCACTCCCTGTTGCGTATGAAGACTCATGGGAAGCACTCCAATGGGCCGCGGCCCATTCGAATCGTAATGGGCCCGAAACCTGGCTCAACGATTTTGTTGACTTTGACCGTGTTTTCGTGGGCGGGGACAGCGCCGGGGCCACCCTTACGCACCACGTGGTGCATCGGGCAGGAGTCCATGGGCTGAACGGGGCGAAGATAGTTGGGATGATTTTGTTTCACCCGTTTTTTGGGAACGAAAAGCCCGATAAGCTGCTCGAGGTTATTTTTCCGGAGTGTAATGGGCTTGACGACCCGAGAGTGAACCCGGGAAAGGATCCGACATTGGGGGAGATTGGGTGTGGGAGGGTGTTGGTGTTTGTGGCTGAGAAGGACTTTTTGAGGGACAGGGCCTGGACTTACTATGAGGCATTGAAGAAGAGTGGGTGGGGTGGGGTGGTTGAGATTTTGGAGAGTGAAGGGGAGGACCATGTGTTCCATTTGTTCAACCCAAGCTGTGACAAAGCTGTGGCTTTGGTCCAAAAGGTGGTTTCTTTCATAAATCAGGACTAGGTTGGGTTTGTGTTAGGTGAGTTTGTAATTTCAATGTCGATCATAAGACTTGTGTATAGAATATGAGCATATTATATTTGCAAAATGCGTATCATATTACCGTAACACCATAATAGTATTCTATAATCACTCGTTGGATAGGGATGCCCTTTGGGCCTTCACAATCTCTGATTACTTTTTGTTTTTTTGGTCAAAAAAGTGGATTACTTTGTTTACAAATAAAACCTGCCAAAAAAAAACAACACAACCACCTTATCTAAACCTTCAAATATACGACAAAAACAGAAAAGATGCCCCCCACTTTACAAGTTGCATTGCTACATTTTCCTTTTAAGTCATCTATTGTCTGAGCCTCCCTCTACCATAATCTTCATTCCCCCCCATCTAATTGAATTCTACCACCTTCTTGTTTTCTCTGAAAATGGAGCCAATCAACAACGAAGTCCTTCACGAATTTCGCTTCTTTCGGGTGTACAAAGACGGTCGCATTCAAAAATTCTACGACACCCAAAAAACCCCACCATCCAATGACCCGATCACGGGTGTCCAATCCAAGGACGTTATAATTCAACCCAAACCCGCCGTTTCCGCCCGTATTTTTCTACCCAAGATCCACGACCCGACCCAAAAACTCCCCGTCCTCTTCTTCCTCCACGGTGGCGGGTTTTGCATCGAGTCCGCCTTCTCTCCAATTTATCACAACCACGTCTCCCGTTTGGCCGCTGAAGCTCACGCAATTGCGGTGTCCGTTGAATATGGGTTGTTCCCGGAGCGACCCGTACCCGCTTGTTATGAAGACTCATGGGCTGCGCTCCAGTGGGTCGCGTCCCATGCTACCGGGGATGGACCCGAGTCGTGGTTAAACGAGTATGCTGACTTTGACCGGGTTTTTATAGGCGGGGACAGTGGTGGAGCGAACTTATCACACAATTTGGCAGTTCGGGTCGGGTCGGTCGGGTTACCGGGCGTGAAGATTGATGGGGCGGTTCTGGTGCACCCGTTCTTTGGGGGCTTGGAGGAGGATGATCAAATGTTTCTCTACACGTACCCAGATAACGGTGGGTTGCATGATCCCAAGCTGAGACCGCCCGCAGAGGATTTCGCAAGGCTGTCGTGCGGGAGGGTGTTGATATTTTTTGCTGCGGACGACCATCTGAGAGAGGCGGGGCAGATGTATTATGATGACCTGAAAAAGAGTGAGTGGGGTGGGAGTGTTGAGGTGGTGGAGCATGAGGGTGAGTGCCACGTGTTTCACTTGTTCAAACCTGAATGTGAGAAGACTGTAGAGATGGTCAAGAAATTTGGATCCTTCATCAACCAAAAGTAGGTTGGTGGGTGACTGAACAAAACAAAAAATAAAGCACCCCTTCCCCTCATAAGAACAAGTTGGAACATCTTAATTTCATCAATTTTCTTTGGTGTGTATGATCTCATTCTCATACAAGCTACAGAAACTTAATATGTTTTCATGTAATATGATCAATATGCGGTCCAATAATTTCAAGTCTCAGTATATCAATCGACTAAATTATTTGCCTAATAGTGTTTTTCTTTTGAATATCAAACGAGATCTTAAATTTGAATATTCCTCTTGAACTAATAAAATAAGAAATGTCATATGACCTTGACCTAACTTCAAGTGTAATAAGTAATTCTATTAATAGTTGAAGATTTCTGATCAATTCGTGAGTCTTTTAACTAAGATTCTGCTCTTATTTCCTATCGTTATGATTGAGTTGTAGATTAATTAGTTTGGTTATCTATTTTACACATCTTATAATATTTGTTTAATACAATATATTTTCCAACAAAAGAAAAAAAAAATTATGATCAAGCTTGAACAACACATTCATCATATCATTACCTATGGCTTTTGAACTTCATATAGTATCCAATTACATAAATTTATGAACAATGAAGAGTTCATACACAAAATACACAGATGAAATAGCAAGTAACATAACAATGAATGCCGTTCAACATTAGACCAAACCAAACCCACGAGTAACATAACATTTGAGAAAGAAAAAAAAAAACCATTAATTTGCTTCATGAAAAAAGTGATTGCCTTTATTAAAATTTAAAATAATCATTTACGCCCGACCCCGACAAATATAAAAAATGACCAAAAGAAAAGGTGGGTCCACTCACTTTGTTTTCTTTTCAAGTTTCTGCTTTTTCTTCCTTAGATCAAAACCCACTCTAAATTGTCTTGGTCTCTGCTCCACCATCTTCTCCCTCCCACTGTACCAAATTCCTCTCATTTCTGAAAATGGAGCCAACCAGCAATGAAATCGATCGTGAATTTCGATTCTTCAGGACATACAAAAATGGTCACGTCGAAAAGTTCTACAGTACCCACAAAATCCCACTTTCTAACAACCCCGTCACCGGGGTCCAATCCAAAGACATCATAATCTCACCCGAACCCGCTATTTCCGCCCGTATCTTCCTACCCAAGATCCATGATCCGACTCGGAAACTCCCCGTCCTCTTCTACATCCACGGCGGCGGGTTTTGCTTCGAGTCAGCCTTCTCCCCGCTCTACCACAACCACGTTGCCTCACTGGTCACTGAAGCCCGAGTTGTTGCGGTGTCTGTCGAATACGGGTTGTATCCTGATCGACCTATACCCGCTTGCTACGAAGATTCATGGGCCGCTCTCAAATGGGTCGTGTCCCATTCGGCCCGGAATGGACCTGAGCCATGGTTGAACGAGTACGCTGACTTTGACCGGGTCTTTATAAGTGGGGACAGCGCTGGAGCGAACATATCGCACAATTTGGCGGTTCGGGTCGGGCCTGATGGGCTATCGGGTGTGAAGGTTAAAGGGATTGTTCTGGTGCATCCGTTCTTTGGGGGTCTGGAGGAGGATGATGAGATGTGGCTTTACATGTGTCCAGAGAACGGTGGGTTGCAGGATCGTAGGCTGAAACCGCCCGCAGAGGATCTGGCAAGGATTGGGTGTGGGAGGATGTTGATATTTTTTGCTGCTGAAGACCATCTGAGGGAGGTGGGCCAGCGGTACTATGATGAGCTAGCGAAGAGTGAGTGGGGTGGGAGTGTTGAGGTGGTGGAGCATCAAGGTGAGAACCACGTGTTTCATCTGATGAAGCCTGATTGTGAGAAGGCTACAAATTTGATCAAGAAATTTGGTTCCTTTATTAACCAAAATTAGGCAGGTATTTACCAACTTACCCCACCTTAAAAAAAAGAAGTTAAATTTTCAACATGCATTGTAATCACATCCATTTACTTTACCTTGTTTGCTTGCTTGCTATAATGCTCTCTGATTCTCATACATGCTTTGTTCACTAGCCAGGAACAACTATAATGTGAACTTTGGAGATAAATTTAAGAAAAATAAGACTTTACTCGAGTATTATTCAATTTTGTTTGATTAGTATGCCTAGATTCTGAACACGACACGATTAATAAATAGATTCGATTAACACGGTTGAGTAACGAAATTCGATTACTAACATGAGTTTTTAATGACAATCCATTTATAATTCTTGTACATGACTTATTTCAGTGATACCATGTGCAAACTAAAGTAATAATTCAGTGACATTGAAGTGGTCCTTGGGACCATGCAAAGTATATGGCCCTCTTGATTATTTCCGTAAATTTTGTCAGAAATTTTGGCTTTCTTCTAAGATGATTTTCATAGGACCAGTTATCTCAAGATTTGGCTCTTGTATCAGCCAATCAATTGCAGACTTTGTTTGTATTTTTCTCTACCTTTTTGGGGGATTCCAATGAATTGGAACATCGACTAAAAAAATTAATTGCAATAGCAACATTCCAAAAATTATGGAAAGCAGATGCCAGGGACAACCATATAATTCCGAGATTTTTATCCATTTAATGTATCAGTACACCCGTAATATCCCGTGACATATTAATGTGGTAGTACACCCGTAACATCCCGTGACATACTAATTTAACATACGCCAGATGTTAAAATGCCAGACAAATCACTATAAACTTAGGATGATGGACTGAAGTTGGCTTATCTCATGTTATTCTGGATAATTACTTAGTTTATTTGTAACAAGTCCAGTCATTTTTCAGACCATGAAAAACATGGGTTCAATCCAATCTGTAGAAGTCCAATATAAGCCAAAATTGTTACATTCCCAAAATATGAAGGAACCTCTGACGTAAATTTCCATAGCCACAGAAGACATTTTCACTGGCTAGCAAAAAAATCTAGATGCTGGAGATATTGTTCTGACCTTTTATCATGAGTGGTGATTTCCCCACTCCTTTTTCTCCTATTTTATCCACTTACACTCCTTTTTTATAACTAAAAATGGAGTGTAAGTGGATAAAATAGGAGTGGGGAAATCATTGCCCTTTATCATTTGCTGGTTGGTTGGGAAGGCAGAGATCGATGGGAACATGTTGTGTCCTAACCACGTCTTTATGGCCAAAACCAAAAAATCCCACGTGCATTGGGAACCTCAAATTGAATCTGCCCACTTCATTATTCACACCTCTCTCTCTTCCACACAGAAAGTCCTGCAGTATCCGCTTGTACTCATCCTCCTCTACCTCCATGGATGCAAGCTTGAGCAATGAAGTAGCCAAAGACTTCTCTCCCTTCCTCAAAATATACAAAGATGGTAGAGTGGAGAGACTTTCAGGCACTGATATTGTTCCCACCTCGCTCGATCCACAAACCGGTGTTGAATCCAAAGACGCCGTGATCTCACCTGACACCGGGGTATCAGCCAGGCTCTACATCCCCAAAACCAAAATCACCACAAACCCAACAAAGCTTCCTCTCCTTGTGTACTTTCATGGAGGTGGCTTTTGCATGGGGTCACCTTTTTGTGCCTATTACCATAGCTATGTGACATCTTTAGTTGCTGAGACAAATGTTGTTGCTGTGTCTGTTGATTATAGGAAGGCCCCAGAGAACCCTCTGCCTCTAGGGTTTGATGATTCATGGGCTGCTCTCAATTGGGTTCAATCTCATTTTGAAGGGCAAGGCCCTGAAGAGTGGCTCAATTCATATGCTGATTTTGAAAGTGTGTTTTTTGCTGGTGACAGTGCTGGGGCAAACATAGCTCATCACATGGCCTTGAGATTGGGGCATGAAGGTTTGGTTGGTGTGAAGCTTAAAGGGATAGCTTTGGTGCATCCATATTTTTGGGGGTCAGAACCAATTGAAGGGGAGACTCATGTGGTTGAGAATAGAGCAAGGGCAGAGGGTATATGGAGATTTGCTTGTCCAAGTAGTAGTGGAGCCGATGACCCGCTTATAAACCCAGGTAAGGATCCGAAACTGGCAAAATTGGGGGCTGATAGGGTCTTGGTTTGTGTGGCTGAGCAGGATGTGCTGAGGCAAAGAGGGTGGTATTATAGTGAGTTGTTGAAGAAAAGTGAGTGGGGTGGGGCTGTGGAGGTTGTGGAGACAAAAGAAGAGGATCATGTGTTCCATTTGAACAACCCAACTGGAGAGAATGCTGTAGCTTTGCTCAAGAAGGTTGCTTCCTTCATCAATCAGGATATATGAATTCCTGAAATTGGGTTCTCTGTTTCTAAATTGATGGTTGTCTAAATAAGTCTTTAGTTCTGTTACAAAGCAAGCATTCAACTTGAACTTGCTGTATTTATCAATTCATGCCCTGTAATTCAGAGTGATCACACCTAATGGTTATATTGGATCCCAATCTTGATTCATTGGGAATTTGGTACTATAACATGTACGTTTCTGTGTTTTTTTTTTTATATCAAGGTTCAGAAATAAAATAGGGAAGATGATGAAAAAGTACTCAAAATTTGATTTGAAGTGAGTTGATGCATGATTTGTGGAAAATTAGTTTGTGTTTTAGATTTAGTAAACAATCTTTAATCCCATCCATCCTCAAGGCAGTTTGCTTTATTTGACGAAGAAACATAGAACATAGTAGCAGTACAAGGCATAAAACAGATGAAGAAAAGAAGAAGCTGATAGAAATTACAACAATGGAAAACCATCAACCTGGCTTCATAACACAGTTCTGATACAATGGAAAAAATAAAACTAATTAATAATAAAAGAAACCATCTTTTTTATTAAGGCCACAGCATTGTCACAAGTGGGATTGAACAGATGGAACACATGGTTCTCCCCCTTTGATTCAATCACATCCACAGCCCCTTTCCATCCACTCTTCTTCAGTACCTCACTATAATTCCATCCCCTATCTTTCAAAGCATCTTTCTCAGCAACACAAACCAGCACTTTCTCACACCCCAATCCCCCGAGTTTCGGATCCTTACCCGGGTTGAAAAGCGGGTCATCGGATCCACTAGTCGAAGGGTAAGCCAAACGCCACAAACCAACCATGTACTCTCTTACCACTGGGGGCAGAGCTTGCTCTGCCCCAATGGCTTCACTGCCCCAAAAATATGGATGCACCAACACAATCCCTTTTGGCTTAACACCACCCAACCCCTCAGAGCCTACTCTCAAGCCCACGTTGTGTGCTATGTTAGCCCCGGCGCTGTCCCCAGCAATAAACACACATTGGAAATCTGCATGGCGATTTAGCCAATCTTCAGAGCCCTTTCCATCAGAATGGGAAGCAACCCATTTGAGAGAACCCCATGCATCATCGTAAGCGGCAGGCAGAGAGTGCTCTGGGGCTAGCCTATACTCAACAGAGACAGCAACGATGTTGGTCTCCGCGACTAAGGCGTTAAGGTAGTTGTGGTAAATGGAAGAAGAGGCGTGTTCGACCACGAAGCCGCCTCCGTGGATGTAGACAAGAAGAGGGAGCTTTTTGTTGGGGGAGTTGGTGGTGGATTTTGTGGGGAGGTAAAGCCTGGCAGATAATGCTGGTTCTTTTGAGACCACAACGTCTTTTGATTCGACGCGGGTTTGGGGATCTAAGGATGGAGGAAGGGTTGTGCCTGTGAGCCGCTCAATTCGTCCATCTTTGTATATTTTGATGAGAGGAGAGAAGTCATGGGCTAGTTCATTGCTCATGCTTGGATTCAATGAAGACAAGTTTATTTCCTTAATGAAAATTACAAAATAATAAAAATGAGAAAACAGAGAGTTAAAAAAATTTGTGTGAAGAATTTAATTTTGCTCACCACCTTATGGTGTTGCATTACAAATGGCACCCAACGTGGAGAAATTTTTGAGTGTTACGTGTCACATTATAATTAATTAGAATTAATCGTAATTAAATGTGTGGTTATGTAAGGCATGACTCCATTATTTTTGGGTAACAAGGGAGCTGAAGCCCCAAAAATAGGAAAAGGTATTGTATGGATCAAAACCGAGGACCAGTAGAGCCATAACTGCATGATTGGTCAATCTCACTTTGATAGCAAGGGTACAAACGAGAACTTAAAAATAGGGTGTTTTCATAATAATTTGGGACTAATGTGACTCAAATACATAGGGGATAGGGAGGAGATAGACGAATCGGGAACCGAAGATCTCAACTCATTATAAGACTTTAAATATCCTCTTGATTTCTTTTCTTTTCAATTTTATTTTATAAACATAGTAAAGTAACAAACCAACAATCTTCCCAAATCATCAAAAATCGTATATAAAGTACATTCTTATTTCCTTACAAAATGTTAAAACACTCTTGTGTTGGCACATGAAGTGACACACAGGTATCCTCCTAACTTACAGAATGGTAAACACTCTGCAGGGAAACATTATTTACAAAACTAGAGGGTACTTGCACAAAACAAATAAGAAAAAGGTGAAGCCACCAGTTATATACACCTGATTACACCTAAGATGTTTTCGCTTTGGAGGCTATGGAAATCAAGACTGATGCAAGAAGGAAACAATCTTCTCAAGCATGGCCTCAGAATTCTTGTTAGGGGGACTGAACAAATGGAATACATGGCTCTCCCCCTTTGTTTCAATGACCTCCACAACCCCTTTCCATCCACTCTTTTTGAGTACGTCACCATAATACAATCCCCTATCTTTCAACGCATCTTTCCCCGCAACAAAAACCAGAACTTTCTCACACCCCAACTCCCTCAATTTCGGATCCATAGCCGGGTTGAAAAGCGGGTCATCGGGTCCAAAACTCGTAGGGTTCACAAAACGCCACAATGCAGTCATATACAAGCTCACAACTGCAGGCAGAGTTGCCTCTGCCCCAACTGGCTGTGACCCCCAAAAAAATGGATGCACCAACACAATTCCATTCAGCTTAAAACCATTCAATCTCTCAGGGCCTAATTTCAGAGCCATCTGGTGTGCTATGTTAGCCCCAGCGCTGTCACCAGAGAAAAACACACGCTGTGGATCTGCATATCTACTAAGCCACTCCTCGGAGCGGTTTCCACCATCAAAATGAGAAGAAACCCAATTGAGAGCAGCCCATGAATCTTGATAAGCAATAGGCAGAGGGTGCTCTGGGGCTAGCCTATAGTCAACAGAGACAGCAACAACGTTGGCCGCGGTGACTAGGGAGTTGAGGTAGTTGTGATATGTGGGAGAAGAGGCATGTTCAACACAGAAGCCACCTCCATGAAAGTAAACAAGAAGAGGGAGTTTGCCTTGGGTTGAGTTGGTGGTGGAGTTGGTGACGGTGTTGGGGAGGTAAAGCCTTGCAGATATGCCCCTTTTTCGAGAGATTGCAACGTCTTTAGATTGAACGCCAGTTTTAGGATCAAGCGATGGAGGAACGCTTGATTTTCCTATGAGTCTCTCGATCGTCCCGTTTACATATATTTTCACGAGAGGAGAGAAATCAATGGCAACGGCATGGCTCATGGGAGAAGATAAATCAGGGGCAACGCCCTGGCTCATGGTTGGAGCCATGGAAGAGAAGAGAACAATGAACACAATTATGGATAACATTGTAGGAATTTTTCTTTCTTGGCATATGCATCTATTGGCAACATTAAGGGAAAACAATCTTGTCATATATATAGATTTTAAGAATTTGTAGAATATTTAATAAAAGCTAATTTTACTCACTATCTTTAAATACCATGTAGTATTATCCTCCCACTTTGCGGATGGAGCAAGATGATGGACTCTCCTCCGACCCTTTTTTTGGTTGAGTCTCCTCCAACTGTTGGTTTTGAAATATCTTACGAGTATGATGACCCACCGAGAGAGATTTTAGTCCTCAGTTTATCTTCTTCCCCCTTACAATTTGTGCCTGGACCACATAACTATAATTATACCCTATTCAGTTCTCCATATTCAGTTTATCTTCTTAACCACTGGTTTTTGTCTGATGAAACTGGGACCTTACCACTTTCACAATCCTGAAAACCAGACATATGCTGCCAACGCTCAATGTTCCGTTAATAGAATGCCCATAAATTGGAATATTTAAATAGTATAGCCGCTCGCTTTTAATAAATTTGAATATTTAAATAGTATAGCCGCTCGGCTATAATGGTAGAGCCGCGCGGCTATACGCTTAAAATAAATTCGTATATTTAAAGAATATAGCCGCCCGGCTATACTATCTAAAAATTCAAAAGTGTATTATTTTCTGTTTTTAAATATAAAATTAGTTTCTTTAAGTCAATAAATAGTTTTTTAATTTTATTTTTTGTAGTTATATAATATCTTAGCCTTATTTAATTATTTTCATTAGTAATTATAGTCTTGTACTAAGCTGCATGACTATACATCAGTTCCAGACATATCATCAACCTTTGCAATGAAGAAAATTATGAAGTTGCATTGGTCCAAACCATCATGTCGACATTGCGAAGAGATGGGCAAGGCATGTAGATCAAAGATTAGTGAATATAGTCTTGCACATGTTCAGTATATATGTAAAATCAAATCTGCTGTAATTTCCAATCGCTTATTTTCTTAGTTTCTTTCATGTCTTGTACTACATAACTTATTTTGTTGCGTTGTGTCTTTCTTGGTTACATGAAATTATTTTAGGGGATGATGGAATATGTTGAAGCATTTGATAATTGAAAGAGTTATTTACACTAATATACTCTTCTTGATGATTTCATTAAAAAAAATATTAAGCAAATGACAAATTTAACCTCAATAAATAAAAGATCGTAAAAGATTTCCCATAACTTGCCACATAATAAAAGAGAGAACAAAAAACAACCTTTGACAATAGTTGAAAAAGGAAGTAAAGGTTTTCTCTTTACGAACGGGTGGCGTATCAAGTTTTTCTTGCTCATCTCAATTCTCATATGTTTGGCACAATATGTATCACGCCTAAGATTAGAGAATACAATTGGTCCCTTTTCTCAAATAAGAAAACAAAGTATATAAAAGCATATTGATAAAAATTGGAAGTGTAAAAAAAAAAAAAAAAAAAAAAAGGGGGGCTGAAGGAATCATTGTATCTATCTAGGCCAAAGACATATTACCAAAGTAGTGCAATTTGGGCCTTGAATCACTGAGTTCTTTAGAATGGATATATACAATTTTTTGATATTGTTGATCTTGTTGCCATTGTTGTTTGGGTTCTTGAAATGCAGAGAGCCAATGCGAAGAAGAACTTGATTTGGTTAAACTGAATGCGTATTTCCTATATTATTTCATGTTTTTCTTTTATCTTTTAAGATAATGTGTTGTCAATGTAACCCCATTTCTGAACATAGATATTTTGAGTTTGAATAGCAAACTAAAACTTGAAAGTTCCCCTTAGTTTAGATTTCGTATGCTTCATCAATACTTGACAACGCAGTGCAGAAATTCCAAACATATCACAAAGTTGACTACCGACAACATATCTCCGAAGATTATTTATTGTATGATCACACCACTGTTGCATATCGTTGGGGGTTATGTTGCTCGGTACAAGTTATGGATGGGATGCCACAATCATTTACAACTTAAAAACAGGTGATTACTACTAATTTCACCGATTCCTTTTTGAGTTAAAATCTCAAACCCGAATAGGTTCAATGGCCTTAATGAACCTCCTTTGTTAAGCTTTTGACAATATCGGGGCAATCTTGGCCAAAGTAGTGGCCCTTACATGTCTTACGGTTTGTAAAAGCCAGTAGGCACAGTTGACTTATTGCCATTATTTCCCAGGAGGTGAGAATGACTTGTGTGGTTCACCTCTTTCTTACATGAAGTTTGAGAGTTCAAAATATCCCCTCTTTCTCTGATAAACATGACAAAGTGCAACCTATCCAAGCCAGTCGATCCCACATACTTAAATTTACAGAAGAAAGAAAAACAACACCAATCATAAATATAATCATACTTGTTTGATCACCCAATCTTTTTCTGGTGCATATCATAACACCTAGCTTCTCTAAATTAGGTATAAAATGGTTTTGCAAGAAAAAAAAAATCATATTTCACATCAGATGTTTTATTTTTTTAAGCAAGAAACATACATAAAACATAATACAAGGCATAAAACAGATGAAGAGAAGAACACAACAAAGAAGTACAACTACTAACCAGGCTTAGAGACTATGGTCATATTACTAAGCACACCAAAGTTTCAGGCAAATTATTCTAATTCAAGAAAGCAACAATCTTTTTCTCCATGGCCACAGCATTGTCACAAGTTGGATCTTCCAAATGGAACGAATGCCCCTCCCCCGCTGCTTCTATGACCTCCACAGCCCCATTCCACCCACTCTTTTTCAGTGTCTCACTATAATGCCATCCTCTATCTTTCAACACATCTTTCTCAGCAACACAAACCAGCACTTTCTCACAACCCAATTGACCCAATTTCGGATCCTTAGCCGGGTTTATAAGCGGGTCGTCGGATCCACTAGTAGAAGGGCAAGCAAAACGCCACACACCAGCCATATACTCTCTTGCAGCAGCCGGAGTAGTTAACTCGGCCCCAACTGGTTCTGTGCCCCAAAAGTATGGATGCACCAAGACAATCCCAATCCACTTAACACCAACCAATCTCTCACACCCCAATTTCACAGCCATGTTGTGCGTTATATTAGCCCCAGCACTGTTCCCAGCTAAAAACACTCGTTGGAAATCTGCAAATCTATTTAGCCAATCTTCAGAGCCGTTTCCATCGGAATGGGAGGCAACCCAATTGAGAGCAGCCCATGAATCATCGTAAGCAACTGGCAGAGGGTGCTCTGGGACAAGCCTATAGTCAACAGAGACGGCAACAACATTGGCTTCAGAGACTAAGGCGTTGAGGTAGTTGTGATGTCTGCGAGAAGATGAACTTCGAATGCAGAAGCCGCCTCCATGAAAGTAAATGAGAAGAGGGAGTTTGGTTTGGGGTGCGCTTGTGGTGGTGGTGGCGGTGGTGGATTTTGGAATGTAAAGCCTTACAGATATGGCTGGTTCTTGTGAGATCACGACGTCTTTTGATTGGACGCCAGTTTTGGGATCTGTTGATGGAGGAACTCTGTCTGTGTCATTGAGTCTTTCAACTCGACCATCTTTGTATACTTTAATCATCGGAGAGAAATCATAGGCTAATTCTTCGTTGCTCATGATTTGAGTTGAACAAGGAAGAGAAGAGAATAAGAAACAAGCAACTATGGAGGGCTCTGTCTCTTCTCTGTTTTTCTTATGCAGATAGCAGGGTTCAGAGCAGGAGCAAAATTTGTGGTTATGATGTTGGGGAATTGAAGGACATTTTTGTCAAAAAGGACGACAAGACAAGTCCTTTCAGATATATTGATTTTAATTTGAAATAAGTTATTAAACAAAGTACTACAATGTTACCATATTATTGTAGTACTAGTCCCTTGGCACATGCTCACGTCATCAATTGATTTTCTTTTTTCTTTTATATTTTATTTTTAGAATTAAAAAAATATAACATGTGTAGTTATGTTTCATAAAAGTATGACATATTATCTGATTTTTTTTTAATATGAAAAAAATGTAAATTTAGCATATTATCCTCATTTAATTAATAATTTTAATTCTTAATATTTGAACTAGCCCCTTAGCACATGCTCACGCATGTGCCAATTGGTTTTTTTTATTTTTTTTTATTTTTAGAATTAAAAAAGATAATGGGTAGTTGTGTTCCATAAAAATATGATCTATTATCTGATTTTTCTTTTAATTTTAATTTTTTTAATATGAAAAAGTGTGAATTTACCATATTATCCTCATTTAATTAATAATTTCAATTCTTAATGTTTGCATTAACCAATGGCATTTTCTGGTATTTTGAATGTTTCACCATTCTCTGCCTTTTGCTTTATATATATAGATTAACCAAGGACATTTTTTGGTATTTTAAATGTTTCACCATTCTCTGTCTTTTGCTTTATATATATATATATATATATATATAGGTTATATAATTTCTCCTATCGCAGGAGCTACCTTTGATAAATATATGAATAAAACTCATTTAAGTTAATATCCCCATATCTTATTTTTTAAAATAATAAATAAATAAAGTTAAGATCCCCATCAATTGAAAATTCTTCTTGATTATTCAAAACAGTTATGCCATAGAGGAAGAAGAGTTCCAAAGACCGCATCGACGGAAAAAAAAAAAAAAAAGAGAGAGAAACCTATGAGACCTAGAGGGATTATTATTAGTTTTGAGCAAAACTTGTTCGAAGAAAATTGAACAGGGATTTGATTCAAATCTTAAAACAAAAAAACAAAATATAAAATTGAAGTACTTATTCACATGCATGGTTATATAGGTTTAATATAATGTGTAGTTTTCTTTTTTACTGGTATTATATTTGTTCCATAATGTTAAACACTCTGTATTTGTTCCATAAGGTCTGCGTTTAAGATTCTAATTATATGGTCTGTGGATCTCTAATTTAGTTTTTATCTTATAAGAAATTTCCTACTTGAAATGTGTATATATGTGGTTGTGAAATAATTTCGAATAGAAACTTAAGGCATAATGACTTGAGGTTCCATGGGACGGCTGAGAGAGATTTCTGGTTCTCGTGTTGCTGAGCAGGATGTGTCGAAGCCAACGGGATCGTATTGCACTGAGCAGGGGGCTGTGGAGGTCGTGGAGGGCAAAGGATCCATTTGAACAAACCCATTTCCGAACATGGGGAATTTGAGTTTGAGTTTGAGTTACTATGATATGATCATACTATTGCTGCATATTATTGGGGTACAATCATGAATGGGACGAATATAATCTCACATCAAGTAGGTGGGCTACTACCAATTGCACTGAGGTCTTGGCCAAAGTGAAGGGCCCTACAGGTCTGTTACACAAAACATGTTTTTGCAAGGGCCATGGATACACCCAGCAGGCACATTTGACTGATCGCCATTGTATCCAAGGGGCTGAGAATGACTTGCGTGGTTCACCTTCTTATAAAGTTTGAGTGTTCAAAATAGCTCCTCTTTTTCTGATAAACATAACAAAGTACAAACCAGCAATCTATCCAAACCATTTGATCTCTCATGCTTAATATTTACAGAAGAAAGAAAACCAACACCAACACCAATCATAATCATACTTGTTTGATCACCCAATCTTTCATATTTCACATCAGATGTTTTATTTATTTAAGCAAAAAACATACATATAACATAATACTAAGCACACCAAAGTCTCAGGCAAATTATTCTAATTCAAGAAAGCGACAATCTTTTTCTCCATGGCCACAGCATTGTCACAAGTTGGATCTTCCACAACCCCTTTCCACCCACTCTTTTTCAGTATCTCACTGTAATACAATCCTCTATCTTTCAAGATATCTTTCTCAGCAACAAAAACCAGCACTTTCACACAACCCAATTCCCCCAACTTTGAATCTTTACCCGGGTTGAAAAACGGGTCATCGGATCCACTAGTCGAAGGGTAAGTAAAACGCCACAAAGCAGAAACGATCTCTCTTGCAGCTGCAGGGGCAGTTAACTCTTCCCCAACTGGCTCTGTTAGTCCTATCTAATCATGGCATACGATGTGTGATAAATTTTCACATGGCAACATGTGATTGATTAAGAATAGCAAAACAGTGTGATTTGCAATTCCAGGGTCCATGAAGAAGGGGGTAGGGACTAAGGGTGGGTGTTGTTCGATTCGGTTCGGTTTCTACCTCACATCAGAATCGGAATCGGTACTATTCAACTAGTGAGATTCTGTCTGGTTCGGTTCGGTTTCTACCTCACATCGGAATCGGAACATGTACTATTCAACTAGAGTGATTCTGTCCGATTTTAGTGAAATTTTTTTATGAAACTGGCCAATCCAGTTTGAAACTGGTTTTGGTGAGGTTTCCCATTTTTCTGTTTTTTAGCCGAATATTTTTTTTTAAATTATTTATACAAATGACAACTAAAATGTTATTTTTTGGGCTTAAAAATTCACAAATGATCCAATTTCATGCAAAAAGAGATGTTTGGGTCTAGAAAAGAGAGGTACTTTGAAGTTGGGCTTGGGGAAATAATAATTATAGGATTTTTTTATTTTTATTTTATTTTTTTGGTCGAATAGTAATTATAGGATTAGAAATTTAGCATTGGACTTAAATAATTTAAGTAAATAAAAATACGTAGCCCATCCGGTCTGGTTTTGTGAGGTATGAAACCGACATGCACTTAAATTTACAGAAGAAAGAAAAACAACACCAATCATAATCATACTTGTTTGATCACCCAATCATTTTTTGGTGCATATCATAACACCTAGCTTCTCTAAATTAGGTACAAAATGGTTTTGCAGGAAAAAAAGAAAAAGAAATTCATATTTCACATCAGATGTTTTATTTTTTTAAGCAAGAAACATACATAAAACAGATGAAGAAAAGAAGAACACAACAAAGAAGTACAACTACTAACCTGGCTTAGAGGCTATGGCCATATTACTAAGCACACCAAAGTTTCAGGCAAATTGTTCTAATTCAAGAAAGCAACAATCTTTTTCTTCATGGCCACAGCATTGTCACAAGTTGGATCTCCCAAATGGAACGAATGCTCCTCCCCCGCTGCTTCTATGACCTCCACAGCCCCATTCCACCCACTCTTTTTCAGTGTCTCACTATAATGCCATCCTCTATCTTTCAACACATCTTTCTCAGCAACACAAACCAGCACTTTCTCACAACCCAATTGACCCAATTTCGGATCCTTAGCCGGGTTTATAAGCGGGTCGTCGGATCCACTAGTAGAAGGGCAAGCAAAACGCCACACACCAGCCATACACTCTCTCGCCGCAGTTTCAAAGCCATGTTGTGTGCTAAAGTACCCCCTGCACTGTCCCCATAGAAAAACACACGCTGGAAATCTGCTAAACTGTTTAGCCAATCTTCAGAGCCGTTTCCATCAGAATGGGAAGCAACCCATTTGAAAGCAGCCCATGAATCTTCGTAAGCAGCCGGCAGAGGGTGCTCTGGGGCAAGCCTATAGTCAACAGAGACTGCAACAACATTGGTCTCAGAGACTAAGGCGTTGAGGTAGTTGTGATATACGGGAGAAGATGAACTTTCAATGCAGAAGCCGCCTCCATGGAAGTAAATGAGAAGAGGGAGTTTGGTTTGGGGTGAGCTTGTGGTGGTGGATTTTGGGATGTAAAGCCTTGCAGATATGGCTGGTTCTTGTGAGATCACAACGTCTTTTGATTGGACGCCAGTTTTGGGATCTGTTGATGGAGGAGCTATGTCCGTGCCTTTAAGTCTTTCAACTCGACCATCTTTGTATACTTTAAGCAGTGGAGAGAAATCGTAGGCTAATTCTTCATTGCTCATGATTTCGGTTGAAGAAGGAAGAGAAGAGTATAAGAGCAAACAATAATGGAGGCCTCTCTCTCTCTCTCTCTCTCTCTGTATTTCTTATGCAGATAGCAGAGTGGAGAGTGGGTGCAAAATGTATGGTTGTGTTGTGTTGAGGACTTGATAGACTTTTATGCACCATTTAAATTAATTCTAAAAAATGCAAATTGGTTGTTGTTGGACATTTTCGTCTTCCCGAAATGCATCTAGTTTTGGCAAATAGAAGGACAGACAAGTCCTTTCAGATATTTGATTTTGACGTAGAGTTATCGACAAAAAATTCTACTTCATTTATATCATATCAAGATTATATGAGATTGTTTGCTATCGAGTAACAAATTAACAAACCAGAGTTGATCTCTCATATTTAATATTGACAAAAGAAAGGCAAATTATATATATACTAAAGCTCAATCCAACTAAACACTGTTCTTAAATACAGTATAATGACGGAAATGCCCCTCATTTTGCTATTGTTTTTGTTTTGTTTTCTCTTCATAACAGTAAATTGACGAAACTGCCCTCAACTAAACATCTTCTTCTGTTCCCTTTTTGCCCCTTTCCCTCCGCTGCGAACGTTTCGTTCGCTCAAAGAAGGCGTCCATTTTCAGTCCATTTCGAACCAGCTAGTTGGGGGGCAGCTATGGAAGATCTGCATTCATTGTTAGACATGCGTGAGGGGCCGTCGATTTTCGTTTGGGAGGTGGGCTGCAAATCCAGCCGCACTTTTAGTCTTCGTCTCACAGATTTGTGGTCGGGAGATTTCTCATCGTTTCTACAGCCTTCGACTCAGACGTCTTCCATCTTTCTTGCTTGCGAGTTTTTGCATCCTTTGTCTTCAGGTATGCATCCCGTCAACTTTTTAACAGATCTTTTGGTCTTCATTTCATGAATTTGATTGTTGGCTGGGATTTTTTTCGTCCTTTGTAGAGCGTGGGTGTGAGCCATGTTCTATCTTTAGGGTATTTTTGATTTATTTTTTACGAATTTGGGTTCATTTATTTGGTTAATTTGATTTCAGGTTCTTGGGTAATCCCTAATGCTATATAAGAGGAGCTGAGGTATTTATATTTCACAACATATTGGGTTCTATCAGGAAGGGGATTGAATCTCACAGATTAGCTCAGGTATTTCCATCGTTCTTATTATTATTATTTTTTTAATCAATTGTCGATTCAATGACTTTGCTCTCTCGGAGAAATCTTAGAAATGGAAATCATTCCCAATTTCTGTTTTGGTTGCCGATAACACACTGGAAAGCAAAGACCAAGCGTGCTTTAAAA